AGGGGCTGGTGGGGAATGTGAAGCTCAAGGGCAGCCTGGGCTGCAGGGACCACGAAAGGGTGGAGTTCAAGATCCTTAGGGCACCGAGGAGGGCACACAGCAAGCTCACTCCCCTGCACTTCAGGAGAGCAGACTCTGGCCTCTTCAGGGATCTGCCTGGCAGAGTGCCATGGGACAAAGCCATGGAGGGAAGAGGAGCCCAAGAAAGCTGGGTAATATTCAAGGATCACCTCCTCCAAGCTCAGGAGCGATGCATCCCAGCAAAGAGAGGGCAAAAACACCAGGAGGCCTGCATGGATGAACAAGGAGCTCCTGGACAAACTCAAACACAAAAAGGAAGCCTACAGAGAGTGGAAGCAAGGACAGGTAGCCTGAGAGGAATACAGAGAAATTATCCAAGCAGCCAGGGATCAGGTTAGGAAAGCTAAAGCCCTGATAGAATTAAATCTGGCCAGGGACATCAAGGGCGACAAGAAAAGCTTCCATAGGTACGTCAGGGATAGAAGGAAGACGAGGGAAAATGTGGGCCCTCTCCGGAACGAAATGGGAGACCTGGTTACCCAGGATATGGAGAAGGCTGAGGTACTCAATGACTTTTTTGCCTTAGTCTTCACCAGCAAGTGCTCAAGCCTCACCCCCCACGCTGCAGAAGGCAAAGGCGGGGACTGAGAGAATGAAGAGCCACCCACTGTAGGAGAAGATCAGGTTCGAGACCATCTAAGGCACCTGAAGGTGCAAAAGTCCATGGGACCTGATGAGTTGTATCTGCAGGTCCTGAGACAACATCTTGCTTGCTCTTGTAACCTGTGTGCATGAGTATTCTAGTCCATTAAGCCTAGCCTCCTAAAATTAAATCCAGTACATAAAATACCAGTCTGTTTTAATGTTGGTCTGATCCTGACCACCAGTGAGAAAATCTCCTGCTACTGCCAGGTATAGGCAGTACTGCAAGATTGGTCTTTACTACCACATGCAGTTGATCCCCTCTTATAGAAGCTTGAGCTCCAACACTTCTCTTTCCTATCACACTGGGACTTTTGAGGGTGCTCTTTGCCCTTGCTGTATAGACAGTTGACTAGCTCTAAGACAGATAACTTCTCCATAATAAGCACGTACATAAACACTGAGACACCCACTATTTTTTTAATATATATAAACTGCAGTAGAACTGAAGTTCACATTTTTCTTCAGCACAGTCTCCTCATTTGCTTCCTAAACTGAGCTGTTCAGTCTTGTAGTTTCCCTTAAAGGGGACAGACAAGAATTATGTTCTTCTGCAGCAGCATCTTAAGTAGCAAGGGTGCTTCTCCATTCTGAGGGCATTAGGATGATGCTACTATTTAATCATTACCATCTTAAAAGAAAGCAAGCAACCTCATACATATAATAGCAGAAAAATTGTTCCAATTAGAACACAGAAATACTAAAATCCCTATCAGTATCTAAAGGAGTCCTGCCTCCCTGCAGCATATACTCCTGCTGTTTAGATGAGTGGGTTTCAAGTCTGTGCCTATGGAGAAGCACTGTTCAGTAACCAACTTAGTCCCAGGCCAAGTAATACAGCTGTCTGGTTTGCAAGTCAACCTCGCTGTCATATGGCACAATATCAGAGGGTACTGTGGAAGCCACTGTAATTTACAAGTTGTGAAGGCTTTAAAGAACAAGCCTAAGAGCACAGAAGAAAATTAGGAAGTCAAGAACCAACTTCCATCTACTGGAAGAGAGGAACAAACATGCTTACAGCTACTGAGGATTCAGCTGACACCTAGTAGAGATACTGCAACATTTTCTGAACTGAATATATTATACAGTACATACGTGTATGCCTATGATGTGAGCCAACAGCCAGAGAAACAGCTTTTGTCAGAAGCTTTAATAATATTTCTAGACCATGATTAAGCTAACTCAAACTCCTTTAGTCTCTCATAATAGTAAATGTTACTTTTAATTGAAAGGACAATAGACTTAGAAATGTACCTTAAGTGTTTATCAAACCTAAAACAATATTCCAATAAGGTGGTACACAATTAGAAGCATTAATTTCACTCTAGTTTCTACTTCACACTCCAGTACTTTAATATGGATCATTCTAACATACATTTTGTAAATTTTTACTAACTTTATTGCTGCAGTCAAAATGCTAAAAAGCTTTGACACAGCATACATTAGAAGCTTTCAATATTGGTGTGCATGTCATGCTTAATGGTGATCTTAAATTGAATTTGTAATACTGCTTGGAGTTTCAGAATAACAGCACTTGCTGCAAACAACTTACCCATTTCAGTAATGTCTGCCTTTCAAACAAATGCCAGCAAAACCTTTATCATACAAGACAACTATGTCAAGTATAACCCCACACTATACTTATGTCCTTCACAGAACACTTCCATTTAGGTAAGTACTAAACACGTAACACGTACTAATATTCCTAAAAGCTGTTTTAGGATGTCCATGAAATCATTTGATAGAGGCAGAAAACAGGAAGAGCATAAATATTTATTCCCTGTTGTTCACTGAGATATCAATACAGTTGTAAGTGTCATAGCCATCATGTCCTTGATGGATGTTTACGCTGCACAAGCAGGCAGAACTTGGAAGCACAAGTACCTCCACAATTAAGAAAACCATTTTAGCTTCCAGTTAAACTCTTACTTTTCAGGTACCTAATTCTCAGGGTATTTAAGCCCTATTAGAGATTAAGCTAAATATTCATTATATGGATTGAGTGCATCATAATCTACCTTTTTCATCTTGCACAGAACAAAGTTCTGTTTGGAGTTCTATTTAGCATACCCCCTGTTAATGTTCAATACAAATACTTACCCAATTAAGAGAAGAACTGCACAAACTGTGATGAATCCCATAGTGTATCTGAGTGCAGTTTTAACCTGCTGTGTATTAAAGAGAAAGTTAATATATTAACATAAAATAAATCCAAAGGGATTTGTGTATCAAGTTATGGCAAAGCATACGTAGCATAACAGGTGTTCTACAAAAGGATCTCTACAGAAAACTCAGTAGTTTTAGATACAAGTCAGAAGTATACATTCTTGAAGAGTCTCATAGCTTGAGAACTATGAACAATGACATTGAATTATGCTTCCATCATAAACTATGCACTTGAGCAGCTGTGGCCAGAAGCCAAGGTACATCTGTTCAGTGCAAATACACTCAAAGAAAATTCTTACTACCAACACTTTATATTAAGGCTATAATTAGAAGTCTTTTTTCTCATGTTAAGGTGTCCTGGTTTCAGCTGGAATAGAGTTAGTTTTCTTCCTAGTAGCTGGTACAGTGCTGTGTTTTGGATTTAGCATGAGAACAATGTTGATATCACACTGATGTTTTAGTTGTTGCTAAGTAGTGCTTACACTAGTCAAGGACTTCTCGGCTTCCCATGCCCTGCCAGGGAGAAGCTGGGAGGGGGCACTGCCAGGACAGCTGACCCAAACTGGCAAAAGGCATTCCATACCATATGACATCATGCTCAGTATATCAACAAGGGGAAAGCTGGCCAGGGGGACCACTGTTCAGGGACTGGCTGGGCATTGGTTGGCAGGCGGTGAGCAGTTGCATCATGCATCACTTGCTTTGTATATTCTTATTATTACTACTACTATTTTATTTTATTTTAATTATTAAACTGTTCTTATCTCAACCCATGAGTCTTCTCACTTTTACTCTTCCAATCCTCTCCCCCATCCCACCAGAGCTGGGGGAGTGAGCTAGCAGCTGTGTGGTGCTCAGTTGCCAGTTGAGGTTAAACCACAACGTAAGGTTACAACTGAATAGAGGGGAAAATGATCATGATCAATGATTAAAAGTTTAAGAAAAGTATTTTCATTTGAGAAGTTAGCACCTTACTGGCATGCATTTATTGTAATCCCTGGAATGTCATGCATGTCAAAAATCTTCAGTGCATTACAAAAATAACCAAGTGCTAGCTTCAGGTAAATTACTACTGCCTATTTCAAGAAAAAAATGCAAATGCTATAAGAAGGAAGGTACTCAAATTTAGTGTTTATCTCAGAATAAGTATAATCTTCCTGTCTTCTACTTTAAAACCTGTTCATACACATTTTTTATTTTAAGGAAGAACCTAATGTAAGAAGTTTTAACTTCCTGTATATGACATCAGGCTCAAAGGAATTTGTAGGAAGTTTCAAGAATTCATGGCAATACAGATGTTACTTACTTATCTCACTAAAGTTTCATTTCATGTGAGACCACAATGCTTAGAGTAGACTATGTCAGACTAAGTATTATTAAGAGCTGCCTCAGTATTTTAAAGGAACTGTAGTAATAGACTTAGAAATGCTATTCACGTGGTCTAACTTGAATACTACTATCATTCTTGCTTTCATTTTTGCCTGTATCCATTTGTCTTTTCACTGCTTGGTGCATTTGCTAGAGTGAACTTACTGAGCATGTGTTGCCATCATCTTCTTCCTTCTCCTCATAATAGAAATAGACAAAGGGAATCCACAGAAAGACGCAGAACAGTATGATGGAGTACAAAGCTAGGAGAAAGAATCTAATTAAGTGAAGAGACAAAGTTACATTGGCACTTCCTTTACTGCATAGTAATTCAAAGGAAAGAATCAAACATTAGTTTCCTCTCATTCTAGCTCTTACTAATTTTAAGCATTGAAAAGTTAATACAATTTACTAGCCAGCATATGAACTATTACTGTTTTGTAACCTCCAAAGGACTTACAGAATTAACCCTTCCAGACTAAGGATTTCAGATCCACCTTCAGCAATGATAAAAAGACTAAAAGTAATCATCTGCATGCAGGTGATACACAGCACTAGCACACTGGGGAAGAGGTAGCATAGAGAATAGTGAATAAAAGCAAGCTATGCCACCTAATGACAGAAGTTGTTCATATAAAAGGTATATAAAAAAATATAACAAATTCAAAGCGATTTTTATGACTGGACTCCATTTCAGGGGATGTTCTACTATTAATGTAAGTACATTATAGATGGAAGGCATGCTTCTGTTACTGATGACCTCAATTCACAAAATAGAACAAGCTGCAGCAATATAGTATCATCACTTAACATCCCTTTTTTAAAGGAGGGACTAATCAGAGATTGCAACAGACATTTATCTGAGTAGCCACTAAATAGAAATAGTCATACTGTCATACTACTTTGATGCACAGGTTATCTTAAGAGACTTTAAATCAGCTAGTTTAACATAAGTGAAGGGTTAAACACACATAAGTCTTCAAATACTAACTGGCAAGTTTGGAGACATTAAGAAAGCTAGTCAAAATCAATTGGACTGATTAGCCAGTGATATGAAGGGAGGAGACCAATTTCAGATCAAGAATTTCAAGTTTAAATCTTCAGTTCTCTGTATTGTAAGTAGTTATGGGCTTTTTAGGACACCATTATTTAGCAAAATCCTTCAGTACATCAAAATATCTTATACTACGAACATTTCGGAAGTCTATTAGGAAACTAAAAACTGTCAAGTAGTATGTTACAGTACTTGCACCCCATAAGAAAGGTATCCCAGAATAGTTAACCAAGCCCTCAAAGTGTTTGAACTACCACACAACCAAGACTGCTCGTGCAAGCACAAAATCACCCCTTTGAGTTGGTAAGTAAAGATACCCAGGACCACACATATCTTGTGATCTTTGGCTATTTTTAATCTTTGCCTCATTTTGCATAACTAGTTAGTGCCTTCCCACCACTAACCAATATAATCATCCCTAACTAAAGTTTGTGGCCTCTTATCTTGGCTAGTACACTCCTTATAGTATCCATGTGCTTCAAAGAAATCTACCTCAGCATTTTTACTGAAGGTGGTGTAGAAACAAAATAAAGTATCAACACCTAGAACCTAAATATGAATGAGAAATTATTTTTAAACAGAATCTATTCTTTGGAAAAATATTTCAAGGTGTTAGAGGTATTACTGTTTAGAGTGCTGAGTTAATATGGCAGTGTAACAAACGGAACAAGTTCTTGGTTAGTTCATAAACTTACTCACATTTGCTAAGAGCATAAAATTCAGGGCTCTAAGACACCTTAAAACTTCAAAATCTGAAATGTAGCATTCTTAGACCTTCTAGAGCAGTACTCAAACCGCTTCAATATTGTGAATGCTTTCAGAAATCAAGCCTCTCTAATCCAAAATCTGCTTTTTTTAGACTAGTCCTAAATCCACACTGCACTGTGCCAGTAAGTTAGGCAAGTTACATGCATCATTAATCAAAGATCAGAATAATCAGCCCATAGAGGTCACTGCAAGCACAGAAACCATGCTCACTTCAAAGTTTTACTATGTTAACTACAGCACACCTTATTCATGAGGTACACCCATAGCTCATTGGGTAATGGGACGGATCCATGTTTCTTCCAAGGGGATAAAGGAAGAGATACTGAAATTCAAGAGAATATCTATGAACTGTATGAAATAAGGCTACCATTTACCACTACATGAATCACACATTGCTACTGCCTAAATGCTGTTGCTGCAGTAACTTAATTCAATTTTAAGAGAACAGCTCAGGCTTCTGACACCAAACTTGGTTTTGTTTTCTTCATTTAAGCTGCTGGTGTTCACTTACTGAATACATAGCTAACCTATATCTTGAATTTGTTCTACATAGCATGTCTTATCATCATATTATGAATGACTATAAATACTTCCCTTGCTGAAAACTGTTTCCTGACACTTTCCTGTAATTCTTGGTACTAATGTCCAGTCTCTAAGTTTTTCTGATCTGTGACAGTATATTAGTAGAGGACTACTCTCAATGGTTACTGACAATCAGCTACACTTACCAACTGAACTTTGTTGAATTATCTTATTCAATTGGATTGAAATTGTTTAACTGATGTACAGTTTGTCGAGCCTTCACCAGGTTGAAAAAGCTGTTCATAGCACAAGCATCTGAACAGCACACAGTAAGTCAAGTAAGCAAAGTTTTCAACTCTGTTCAAGAAACACTACCAAAAATTATTTTCACATACTGCTATTAACATCACTGTATTCAGCTTTTAATTCAGCTTTTAAAGGTCTGTCACAAGTGTTTGGCAACTGACTTGTCAAAAAGTTTTGGAAATATATCTTATTATCTTTAAGTCATCTATTCCAAGCTTCCAGGCTGACTAAGTGGTGCCTCTCGACTCAAATGGTGAATTAGCAAGCTTAAGTGAGAGGCAATTCTATAAAACTTTACAGAAGTTATAACAGTTCCAATACCATGACCATATGAATACCTAGAGGAGTTTGTGTGCCAAATAAGTGGCTGAATTTAAGTATTTTTACATATCAGATCTGACTTCCACAGTAAAGGCAGCCAAAAATGGTTATACTAGTTCCCCAAACCCACCATTTCAGTAATACATTGCAATATGCAAAGATTTCATGTAAAACCAGATCAAAGACATCAAAACAAGGTAATCTTCATTCAGTAAGAATTAGCTTCTATTGAACTAGGCATTGTTACCAATAGTTCTATTCCAATTTCTTCTAACCCATTTCTTTTTCCACATCCAATGGCTCACAGGATAAATGTTTAGGTTATTGTTTGCATTCTGGAGTATTTAAATCAAGTTTAGATGCAAGTCTAAGCAGTTGCAAATAAACATTGCATAAAGCTCTTCATATCATCCCTAAGTTTCATACCTTTGAAGTTAACATCTGTAAGTTTCTCTTTATTGTCAGTGTAAACAAAGCAAATGACTATCCAGATTAGCCTTATCAAAAGGTTAAGTAACTGTACTTTCTGTGAATTCATAGTTAACTCAATCCAATCCCTCAAGCTCTTGCCAGGAATTTATCAAATTAAGAAGAAATCCATACTGGTTTAACAATGTTATGTCA